TATATATATATATATATATATATATATATATACATATATATATATATGATATAATATAGATACATAATTGATTTATTATATATAATCTTTTATATATATATATTACATCAATTATAAAACAATCGATGTAATATTTTACATAATGACATTTTTTTAAATAATGTTAATTATGTATTAATTTTTTTTTAAATTTATCATCAAATATAATTAAAGAGAGATATGTATTATAAAACTTATAATAAATCATAATTCAAAAGTTCAATATGACATGTACTTAAAAAGTTCATCAACAATAAAATAAATTCATCAACAACATTACAATAAGTGCATAATAAATTCACAAATAATTTCATAAATAATAATAAAATAAGTACACAATTCAATCACAAATAAATCCAATAAATAAATGAACCACAAATAAAATCCTATAAGATAACATCAATAAGTAAAAATTAAAAATAAAATAAAATTTATTTTAATAAATCAATCAAATGGATCAACTCAACCTATCATTTAACTAATTAGATCGACCAACTATGTAAGTTGAAAGTTAAAAAATACAATTCAATTCAACTCATTTAAATATATTATATGGGTCAATCCATTGAATTTGACCTATTTTAACATATCAACTCTTTAGGTTTAAGATAAGTGGTTGTGCCTAATTATTCTATTATATAGTGTGATACTAATTTTGCGAGAAATTACTATTAAAAATAATAATTTGTTATTGATTTATCAGAAGGTTGTCACGTATCCTCTATAAGTAGAGCACATGCACCGGTATCGTATCTTTGTTATTTAATTGTTTAATTGGATCATCTCCACATTCAGGTACATCAACATCCACTATTTCCTTGCGTAAAAACAAAAGTTGATAATGTTGATGAAGATGAGCCGCAGAACGGGGGGAAAAAAAGTGTAGGACAAGACATCAAAAAATTTCAAATTTCTAAAATTTCTTATCTAAACAAACTATTAGTTATGATGATGCGTGTGGAGAGGATCTTGAAGGAATTGAGACAGACGATTTATCTAAATATGATAGTAATAATCATGATATTAACATGAACCCATTTTGGCCCGTCCCAAATAAGGGAGTTATAATTGAGGAAATAGTGGATCAACCTAAAAGTGGAGATGATCGAATTAAGCAATTAGAGAAAAAGCTTGGTTGAAAGAGAAAGACAGCAAAAGTTTCGATTTCCGATTTCCACTGCTGAGAAAGCTGTGTCTGTCTCTCATGAGGCAAAAGCAAGTAAGAAAACTGAAAAAGAACAAGAATGAAAAAGATACAATAACAATGTATAACCAATCTATTTATGGAGAGCATGTAACAACTTTCTAATAAAATAAACTAATTATCTTTAACAGTTTCATTAAAGATTTAATTTTATAAAAAAAATGCTAAGAATAATTTCTATTTTATGTTTAACGGTATTTTGAAATTTAAATTATAAAACAATTTTGTTTAAGTGATGAAATACAATCATTTTAAAAGTAAATGTCTCCAATTTGTAAACCTTACATTTAAAATCAATCGTATTCGCAACAAACACTGAATATTTCTTGCTTCTCTCAAAATTTACTTCAAAATTAATGTTGATAATAAATTTTACCAAACGAATTACCGTTATATAAAACCAAATAGGCTATCCTACCAACTAAAAATTGTAATCATATTTTGTGCTAAATGATTTTCAATAATATTACAACTGATTCACCATATACAGTTCACGTCTAAATTTCATTATAAATTGTAAGATTTGAAAGTTTCAAACATTTCAGGAGATTAAATAAAAATAATACAATTATTAAAAATAAAATAAACAACAGCATTTCTGTTCTTTTATATAGTCAAACATAAAATGTAAGGAAACAAAGTAGGAAAGGAAAAAAGAAAATTAACATAACCCACAAGTCCACAACCTATATCAACAATTCAATCTGCAATGTACATGCTAAAAAAAATTTAACTGTCCAAAGGAACATGAATTTTTAATAGCCAAAAGATGACTTCAATTGATCACAATCTGGTTGTGAATACCTAAATAAAATAATGGCAAAATTTTGCCACCAATCATGGAAGTTGTGCACAACAAAATACTCCAAATTTGCAGGACATTAGTTGGATGTTTAATCAATTGAGTTAATGCTATGATTGTTAGGTCCTCCAAAATTACAATGCAAAACATTAATTCCGCCTCATTGCTACTGAAGAATCAATTTCATATACAGTTGGGAAAGCTCAACAAATAGGCAGTGATAATCTTCAGAACCTTTTATTCTTTTTCATTATTTTGATTGGTCCGAAACTAGGGAAAAGAAATTCAAAGGAAAAGTTTTCCATCAGGGCAAAGTAGCTCTAACTTCTTTCCTATCAGCACCACAAGCCTGCAATTCAGAAGATCACCAATCAGAGAGTTGAATGTAACAGCTTCAGTAAATCATTTTCATGTAATTCTATAAAGTGTGTTTGTTAGGGTTGTTCACTGAGACTTTAACAACGTATAAATTAAATCAACCATCCACAATTATTTGAGAGATTTTAATTGGTTTCAAATTATTTGTCACTTTAAGAAACTTAGAGAGCATTTAATGGAATGAGAGGGTAACACAATCAAGTGAGCTTATATTTCCTTGAAATTGAGAGTATTTCATGACTTTCTTGATCCTTGTGCAAAGCCTTAATTAAATGACAACTATTTTGAAATGGAAGGAGTAATATTTTCCACAATTTTAAGCAGAAGACTACTGAATCTTTCATATATCATTTAATTTTCTTATAGTTATACTTGAATTCATGTAACATTTGGTAACAAAAAAATGAAGATATATAAAAGAATGAGTAGAGATGAAATTATTACTACCTCGACACCGTAGCCTTTAACATATACATTGGTAAATAAATCAGATGGATCTGGCATTTGACTTTCCTGGAAATCAGAAAAAAAACACAACTGAGCTTGTAAATCGCATTGGACAAAGGAGATGGTAATATGTGGGAAACGAAAATTAGTAGGAGAAGAATAAACAATGAAGATATTGTTTCACCTTTGCTTTGGCAATGGCATCTTCAACTTCTTTTCTTACTTCCTTTTCAATATCCTAAAAGAAGAAAGTGCATAATATTTTAGAATTAAATTCTAATGTTCCATCAAAATTAATATGGTAAGAACTTTGATTTCTTCAAGAAAATACAGAGATTAACATCTTACAGTTACAGCAGCGGAAGACCTCTTTAATTCCTCTAAAACAGACGCACAAGAACAGATATGAAAGAAAAAAGGAAAATGATAGACATAACAGGCTGTTCAAGGGCTTTTCTTCTGCCCTGTCTGAAGGACCCAGACCCTCGCTCAATGTCAAGGACAGAGGATTGAGAAGGTAATAGTAGGTATAATATTTACTGAAAGAAAGGATGATTTACAAGGAGTAATCCCCCCTCGCATGGCCTATAGCTCAATCAAAGAATGCAAAGCAACTTTACCCAGCTTACAGCCAAAAGAGAAAAAAAAATGAAAAACCAATTCACACACCAGCTTCTATGATGTTTTAGGATTTAGAAGTCTTATACATAAAAGTTCTACAACACTACGTCCTTTTGCTTCAATAAGGCCTTTAAACTACTTGGTCCAAACATTCAATCACTGAATTCCTTCCCTCTCCCTTCTTTCCGTGATATTCTTCAATAGAATTCACATCACACACCTTCCTAACTCCTTCCTGGCCCTGCCACATGGGAATTGCGTAATGCTAATAGTGAATTTTCCCTTAAGCCTACAGACTTTCTACACTGCCAGGTTGGCCTTACTAACCTGCATTATTAATACTATGATTGTCTAACATATATACATATCAAGACACTTGTGTGATAAACTAGAAGCTGTTCCAATTGGGCAGAAAATTTATGACACTAAGCAAAAGTTTAAAGAAAATTATAACATTACAATCATGATAGACAAACAGATCATATCATCCAACACAGTAATTACAGGCAGAATAAAGCTCAAGCAAACAGTAACTACCATAATTAAAGTCTACCAACTCACATGGTAGGTAACCAATGCAGGGCCACCAATTCCATGACAACTATTTTAATATAGCCCAAATATTATGAAAGAAATGTACATTTATAATTTCATGAAAATAACTACTGAAATCTAATTATGACCCACATCATAATAAAATAAAAAAAAGCTTAAATATGTCTTTAAACCTGATAAATTGAACAAATTTTAATTTTAGTTATTATAAAAAAAAATCTTTAGTTTTCATCCCTAAAAAAATTGAAATCTTTGTTTTTGGTCCCTACTCTTATATGACACGTGTTAATTGTTTGTGTTTAACCAAAGGTCAACGTCAAATGACGCCCACTAGTGTCTATTGTACTGTGTCAAGATGCATTACTACTAAAAAAAACTCTAGATCCTTCAAATAAATACTGTTTATCATTCTTAAAACAAACAATAGGGACCAAAAACAATTATTTTAAATTTTTGAATGGATGAAAATCAAAGAAAAACATTTTATAGAACTAAAACCAAAAAAATTTCATTTTATAAGCACCAAAAATAATGGTTTTAAATTTTAGAAGGTCGAAAAGAAAAATAATAACCTTTTAGAGACAAAAATCAAAACTCACTCATTTTATAGGGAATAAATTCATATTGAAGTAAAACTGTTTCTATTTATGAACTTGAAAAGTAATATCTTAAGATGTCACAAAAAGAAATATCAGGTTGAAAGAAAGAATATTTAATAAACAAACACATCACATTTTACAATTGAAGTGTGAAGCATGAATACAAACTTTATTCAATCACCTTTAGCTCCTTCTCAGTAGCAATATCATGAGTCAATAGCAGCTTTCTTACTCTCTCAATTGGATCACGCTCCTATAATTAGATTGGACATGAGAAAATAAAATAGAGAATAAACTCCTAAATATTAATTAAATTAATAGGATATTTGCTTATTGTTATAGTAAATACCTGTCTCACACCAGAAATCTCATCACGTGTGCGGTATGTGCTGCCAGGATCAGACATGGAGTGACCATGGTATCTGTATGTGTCCATTTCAAGAATCTGGACAAAATAATTAAGATAGGGAAATCAATCATAATATAACAGAGAATAAACTTCGATAATTTATTAAAAACTAAACAAATTCTGGCAAGTTCTGAAATTTGGGCATTTGTATAATTCAAAAATTCATTTCATCTAGGCAATCATCATAGGTACATGTACATGTACTAAAGGTTAAACAAGAACACAAGGTAATTGACACAGAATAAAGCCAAACAGCCTCTATATAAGAGGATAACTGATAGATACCCATTAGTAGCTAGTTAGGTGTCTTTTAGTGAGGTAGTTAGTTGGATGGGCTGAGAGAGTAGAGAAATAAGGTGCATAGCCTATAAACAAGGTTATCCGTAATTGTTACTAGACAAAGCCAAACATGAATAAATAAATTCTTCCCAAATGTCAGCCGGTAAAATGCTTGGGTAAATTAATCGTAAGATTCGTAACACTACTATTTTCTAGCAAAATTTTTCATTTCCATTAAGGTTCAAACATAGTTGTCAATCACATGCAATAGCACTGCCATGCAGGGAAGCAGAGCAGAGCGGTACCCTGCCTCTCCTCAAAGAGCCATCCCAGAGCACTTGGCTGTCCAGGGTATTTCATGGCCAATAGTGGGCCGAGCGGCCACTTTAATGAGGAGGCATCAATTTCTCTTTTACCCCTGAAACCAGTGTCATTCTCCTCATCAATCTTGTCCCTTTTTTCTTGTATTAGAGCACATGCAGCTTCTTGTTTTCCAGCTTTTGTTCTGCAATGGTCACATTTCTGCTGAAAAGTGATGGTGGAGACAGGAGGTGGCAGCCGATGCCTACTCCCGAAATTGGGCCACTCTCCACCCCGAAACAGTCATACAATTGAGAAGGATTCTTTTGCTGTTTTCTTTTGATATTAATCATATATTATACTATTATAGAAGTATAAAACTAAAGGTGCTCCATAATATTTAAGAATAAGTAGAAAATATTAATTCGTCACTATGTCTTATATAATAGGGACAAATATATCAAATATAATAATATATAAAGAGAATATATTTACATTAACAAAAAAAACTGTATATCAAATAGAATTAATATAATAATAAGAAATAAATATAATAAGTAGAAAGAGTAAAAAATAATTAAAAATTACTTATATTGGGGTGTCTTAGATAGTAGGTTTGGATCCAACTCAACCCTACAAAACCAGTTTGTAAGATGAGAGTTACAGCCCACTACCCACTGATATACTATTTGTTTGTCTTATTTCTAATTGATGTGAAACTTGATTTTTTATCCAATATACCTTCTCACGTCCAACACTATTAGACTTAGTACGTGAATAAATGATGGTTGACCCTTTTTAGTGCCTGTTTGTTTTATTCAATTACCGAATTCCAAAGCATGTTGAATGGAACTTCTCTCTCATATAGCTTTGGCGTTGAACGGAACATGACGATAATACAAACACACCCTTAATGATCTAGGATAAGTGGGACTAGAGTTTTCCCCAATACACCCCCTCATGTCCAACATTATTGGGCTTGATGTGTGTATCAATGATGGGTGATCCTTTTAGAGTGGATCTAAATAGCTATGATACCATCTTAGATAGTAGGTTTGAACCTAACTCAATCCCACACAAACCAACTTGTAACGTGAGAGTTGTCCTTCACCTATACACTATTAGTTTGCCTTATTTTTAGTCGAAGTAGAACATTTCCCAATAAAGTTGTATGTGTGTGTCCCACTAGGGCAATTTTGGGGGCAGCCATTCTGCACCCTATCCACTACAGACTATTAGTCTATTATCAAACTGGTTAATTCACAGCACATGACAATTCAAATCCTAATGGGCAATGTCAAGGACCAACTCTCCTATTTAAGTTATTAGGTGAAGGCACATGATTGGTTCTATATTCTAACACACCCTCACGCAAGAGCCATTAAGGCTTCAAGCATGCGAATTGCAAAAATGTATAGACTAACCCTACCTTGAGCTGAAATTTAGCTTCATATTTAGAAGAATGGGTGTAGTAGGGGATCAAATTCCTTATCAGTTGACTAATACTAAGGGGCCTGTTTGATTCCAGCTTTCAAAAACAAAAAACTTGTTTGACAAGAGTAATTTTTTAAATTTTTTTTCAAAACTAGTATCTCTTTATTTAATTTTTAAAACCAGAACATCTCTAAGTTGTTTTGCTTTTCTACTTTCAGATCTCTATTAGTCATGTTCTTCCCTGTACTTTCACATCTTCCTACATCTCTCCTACTATCTAGAAATTAATTTTTCAAAATTATTTTATATAATTTTTTTAAAAGTAATTATTCAAGTATATCCCAAAAGTCAGGCAAATATTAAAATCGGTTTGAAGAAGCATATGCCCAAGTTATGCGAAACACAAGTTAGAAACTACAAAAGTGTAAAGAATGTACAATGCCCACAGGAGAAAACCAGTATCTTTTGAAAGTGCCTCAACAATGACATTTATAAAGGATAGCATATTAACATCTACAAAATTCTATGACCTAAATCTAGTTTGATTTTTTTTCTGGTTTGATATGGAGATATAACTCCTTCCCACCAGGTCAACTCTTGTAAGGATAAAATAGTACCTCCGGTCGCAACTCCATGTCCAAGCCGAGGATTGAATCCCGGTCTTTGGTTAAGAAGCACAAGTGCCAAACATTTGTGAACCTAGTTTGATGTTAAATAGACATTTCATGGGATGAGGAATTCTACCAAGTATTTGTATGAATCTAGATTATTCATCAGGTCCTAAAACTAATATTATCACCAAACCAATAAAAGAGTCACGGTCAATCCCCTCTAATCTAAATAGTGTTGTCAAGCATTAGTAATTGAAATATCTACGCATAAAATCCATGAAAATAAATTTAAGAGATCTGAGTATAAATGGGAAATAAATTTTCTCACAATGGGACCATTCTTCAAAGCAAACTCCTTTGCAAATTTACTAGCTTGTTTCACAGCAAGAACATCCATGCCATCTACCTGCACAAAGTATAAATATTTGCCTCTAAAATTTCAATAAATGTAGACTGAGATATATTCAATCAGCACATGTATATATCATAGCTATCAATCTAAGATCACAAGCCACCACACTTGAGCTACTGCCAACCAGCAACTACAAAAGTAGTGTAGATAACGGAATGGCTGCTATGCTTAAGTTTTAGACAAACATTAATAATTTACTTATACTATACTATAGATACATACATGGTTAGAAGCAAAAATAAATAAATAAAGACATTGAAAATGATAGACACAACAATAGAAATGGAGGTTGAATTGCATTTTATGTTTTTTTGACAGTTCAAAAGCTTTGCTACGAAAAACCTTCAAAGGGTTGCAGAAAAAAGGTTTTGGCAACAGATGAATGGGATTACTGAGGCTACCCTATTCACCATCAAATGAACTCTCTTCTCATGCATCGTTGATTAGCAACTCTGAAATAACTGCGTGAGAAGTATGCAGATCACTGTTCACTGCCTCGGTGTTAAACAAACTATGACACAGCTTCCAATTGAACCATGTATGAATCAATAGCATCAACTCTGACATCTTTGGTGACATGAATTCAATCCAGAGGTTAGACCAATTGATAGAACACCAAAATGAAAAATAGAAATCCTTCTTACTGAATGAAATAGAACTACATTCGGTACACTACTAAATGCACCTCAACAGAGCCTCAGCTCCTACAACAGTAATATTCCTCTACAGGAACTGTTTGATTCAGAGTAGTCTGACATTTGAAGACATCACCAAAAATTCTTCCACCATTCCGTGAGAGAAAGGCTGCCCATCAGCTGCTCCCAAGATAAATCTAAAATCTTCCTCAAGCAGCAAAACCAATGGACAGTAATATCCATACTAATGAAGGCAAGGTGTAACTTCTCTGCCACCAGTTTTGACTGATGCACCTATAGAAATTTCGCAGAAATAGCAATCCATCCCGAAGGATCACATTCATCAAAATCGGCCAATTTCACCATCATCACTCAAGGGCAGATCCCATTACCAGATTCTAATTCTCTAGCACTTATATCACTCCATGTTGCTTGTTCAATTGAGAAGACAAGATATAATATAATGACTTTATTTTTACATTTTATTCCACAAGATTGATGCCCGACTTCTTCATTCTTAAACCCAACATATCCCAAATGAACACATTGGTTTTGTTCAAAAGCTCCTCATAATTCTTCAATGCCTTAGCTCTGATCTCCATCTCCCAACAAACGCATCCAGCAAGATGGACCAAATTGTTAGTAGCCTTCATTTTCAAATGGAGAGAAAAAAAACAATAACTTTTGGATGTCTCATTTCTACCTTTATTTCCTCTTAATTATCTAACTGAACCTGCTCTTACTAGCTAACTTCCTTAATTGTTCCTAACTCCCCTTTATTCTTCCAAGCCATTTTACCCTTATGTTCTAACACAATCACTATCATCTATCCATCTCACAATCAACAAGTTAATAACAAAACCCATCGCCTAAACACACATTCAAAAATGTGACCAAAGACATAGTTTGGAAATGAAAAAAACATTTTAAAAGAAAATACATGAAACGTGAAGGGTGAAGAAAAAACATAGCACAGGAAAAAATAAAATACACAACAGAGCCTCTCTAAGCATGACATGAACTGAACGGAAACCAAACAGAGAAAATCAACACCAATTAGGCTGCACTGTGATGTGTGAACAGTGTGGCATTGAATATTTAAAACACATTTTCAAAAACCAAACAATAGCCATGAATCTCCCTAACCTTCAATCCAGGGACATAATCCCCACGCTTGTAATAAGAAGGACTCTTAGCAGCTCTCCACTCAGCCGTCCCCATTCCATCTGTCCCACAAACCAAACCAAATAAATCCAAAGCCAAATAAAAAATGGCCCTGTTTGGATAATTTTCTCAATAACCACTTGCAAGATGAAAAAAATAATAAAATCTACCAGGTTAAAATTAACTTACAAAAACAACTTTTGGAAAAATCATCACAGCAAACTTCTATAAATAGCTCATATATAAGCCAACATTAATATGAACTCATGTAATTTCTTCTCTTAAAAATACTTACAGAATAAGCTTATCCAAAATTTCAAGTGAGTGACCAAAAAGCGTGACACTCACAATGATTATTCTCGCAGACCAAAATGGAGGGGAGATCCCAAAGTGCGGAAATGTTAAGCGCCTCGAACAACTGCCCCTGATTGGCAGCACCATCACCGTACATAGAAAACGTAACAGTCTCATCCTTACAATACTTCTGAGCAAAAGCCAAGCCACAACCAAGCGGAACCTGAGCGCCAACAATCCCATGGCCGCCGTAGAAGCCACCCTCTTTCCTATAAAAGTGCATGGAACCGCCCTTCCCCTTGGAGCACCCGTCGCGGCGCCCCATGAGCTCGGAGAACACCTCGAGCAGGGTTCCGCCGCGGCTGAGGAAGGTGCAGTGGTCGCGGTAGGCGGTGATGATGCAGTCCTTGCGCGTGATCGCCGCCTCCATCCCCACCGCGACGGCCTCCTGGCCGTCGTAGAGGTGGCAGAAGCCGCGGATCAGCTTGGACTTGTAGAGCGAGTCGGCAGAGATCTCCATCCGGCGCATGACCGCCATGTCGTGGAAGAAGGAGGAGAGCTCCGCCGCGGAGGTCTCGACGGCGCGGGAGGGCGCATCGCAGTTGTGCGAGGTGAAGGGGAGCGAAGTCTCCACGGTTAGGGGATCGGTGGAGGAGGAGGAGATGGAACGACGTGGTAGCGACAAGTAGGATGAGAGGGGTTTGAGGAGATTATTGGTCGATTGCGATGAGGAGGAAGCAATGCGCGATAGAGCCATTTGGATCTGATGATGCGAATAGAATGAAAATGGAGAATATTAGAAGCAAAGAAGTGGAAATGGGTTGTTAGGTGAAGGAAGGGAAGGTGGGAAAGTGACAGAGAAGGGTGCATTCAGAAATGAAGATGATATATGGATCCGTATTTTCTGACTCTGGGAAAAGAAAATTATGGTATAAAATGTTCGTAGCTGACTCACGTTTGAATTCCACACACACTGCATTAATGTATCACGTGGATCAATCTAAACCGTTAGATAGAGTTACACTGCAGATTGCACTATTTTGTAGTGCAATGGAAATTTTCATCATAATTTCGTATAGCATATGCATCACAACGGGGCGGAGCTGCAAAGTTAAGCTGCCCGGTATCTATAGGAGGTAAAATTTGGGTATTTATTTTCACTTTTGATGGGATTTGAGTTTTTTGGCCCCGTTTTTATTTTTTTTTAATAAATATGAACAAATTTTAAAAAAAAATTAAAAAAAGTAAAATAATATAAATTTTCACATATAAATATTTCTAATTTTAGTTTATATATATATAAATAATTTTTAATTATATTATTAAGCAGGATTGGGTACAAGGTCGGGAGCGGGTGAGTATTAACATCCCCGTCCCCCCTTCCCTCCCCTGATTTTATCAATCGAGAAAAACTTGAACCTGAATTCGAAGTAAAACTCGATAAACACGAATTTTTCCCGTCCAAATCGGGACATGTTTGAGCAGGTACCTACAGGAACGGGTTAGATTGCCATGTCTAGTAAAACATGTCGTCTAATCGAGCAGAAAACTAGAGACTTAGTTTGGGTGATGTTCTTTAACTAAAATTAGATTTTCGTTTTGCTAACTACTTTGACTTTTAATGTAAATATTTATTGAGGAAAATATTTAATTAAAATTCTGCCTATTATATTAAAGAATAGAGTTAATATATTAGCATTTTTCTGGTTTTTTTAATTAGGTCTTTATATTAAAAATTATATAATTGAGTCTTTGGTTTTTTTTAATAAGAGTTATTTTATGACAAAAGATACAAATCATTTATGACAATTTTATTAATTTTATGTACCCAATTATATAAATCATAGAAAATTTTAAAGATTTAACTATATTCTTTTATTTTAAAGTAAATTACACTCTTCTCTTTAAGAGATATAAAAATTAGACTGTCATTTTTTTTAAGTTAAAAATTATAATCTTTTGACAGATTCCAATATATAACACTTTAATCATTTTAAAAAAAATTCATTTAAATTCCATTAACTTCTATTACAAAAAAAACATTATTAGCAAAATATCATTTTGTTACATATAGATGATGTATGATGAGGTGTGGATGTTGAGAATACGATATAACATTAAAGCATATTGACTAACTTAGGACCTGAGAAGAATAAATTATTTGGAAAAATGAAGATCCCACATAGGGTATCGTAGAGTGGTGCTCAGGTAAATCATTGTTGGAAAACCCTCATTGAGTAGGCATGTCTCTTGGAGTGATTTTTTGAGGTGTGTTGAGTTTCCTTTAGGTCCTTAGTTAGTGGTTGAGTAAGATAGGAGGTTGAAGGTTACAATCCTTAACCAAGTACTTAGTAAGGTTGTTTGGTTCCTTAAAAATAGCTAGTGGGATAGCTCCACATGTGATTCGATAATGCATGCCAAAGTTATGGTACACCTATACCTAATTGTACCATCCCAATAGTGAAATCAGATTTTCTAGTGTAAATGACAAGATCTAAGAAACCAGAGGAGGGATTGGTATCCCATTTTGCTATGGTCAAGCTAGCACTTTGGGTGCAAAAATGATTGGATTGATTCAGTAGGATTGAGTCACTTAGATTGTTCATGTTATCAAGAGATCTCCGTAGATGAATGTGTGACGACACATTGGTTGAGACATTTAAATATGATGTATGTTGTGGTGTGTTCATATGCATTGTTAAATGTCTTGTGTGAAATGGTTTGGATGAGATACATGTTTGCTTTAGAGTGTCTTAACTTTCATGTATGGTTGTGGTGTGATATTGTATGTTATAGAATTGTTTTCTATACTTACATGTTTTTGAACTCTAACTTACCTTTCTGTTTTCATTGTGGTTTGGATTACGATAATCATACGTTGTATAAGAGCAAATCAGGGCTAAGTTTGAGGAGCTGCTATTAGTAGGTAGTGTGATATTTTTGCTAACGACAGTGCTACTATATGTAACTTGTATAGGTGTTCTCGATCGATACTAGAACATAGGGTTATTTTGAGTTACTATATACATGTGTATGTGCATGTGTACGCGCGCGTGTGTGTGTATGACGCGTTCTCTTATTTAATTTGAAATATTTTAGTAGGTTAGTTTTCATTGTTAGTGGTAGGGATTCTGTTTAGTGTAGCGATCATGACGGGTCGTTATAATTTTTGTGTTAAAATAAATATTTTCCTCAACAATTTCAAATATGTCACACTTTAATAATTTATCTCTTAATTTATATATTGAACTATTATTTTATTTTTTATAAAATTTTTAAAATTAAATATATATTTAAAAATATATTTTTCATTATTAATTTTACAAAATATTTTAAATTCATATATCAAAAATAAAAATAATATAT